TTAGATATTTTCTCTACATGGAGTACGCGAATGGATATGAGTTACACTTAAATAATTAATGTTATATTTTAATTATTAGAAAATATTTTAAAAAACTAAAATTAATATTTATCCCTTTTCAACAACTGTTTACAAAAAAAATAGATATTATGATGTGATTTATAAAGAGTAGGATTTATTATGACATCTTAAATAATTAATGTTATATTTTTAAATATAAATATTTATTATATTTATATATTTTTTTAAATTATATATATTTTTAATAAATTAAAAAATATAATAATTAATTTAAAAAAATAACATTAATAATTGAGATGCGGTAATGTCATCATCCGTTTATCAGCCCCGTAGAAAACCGTAGTCCGTAGCTGTTGTGAGGTTGATTATAGAGTCTTTGTTGGACCCACACGGTAATGTGTGTTTGTCTTTAATTATTTGTTTTGCCAAAGTTATGCACTTTTATTTATGTGAGGTTAATACCAAAACTAATTGAAAGCTTTTCACCAAAAAAATAAAAAATAAAAAACTAAGAAACTAATTGAAAGCTACCTCAGTTGTTGATAAATTGGATAGGGTTTTAATAGGAAGTCGGTAAAATAACAATTGAAGTTCGTTATCAGAGTTAGATATTTAAAAAATAAAAATTCAATATTGTAATTGCAGTAGGTGCTGAGTTTGATTTTCATACCTAAAGTCTAACCAATATATAAATAGGAAGAGAAATATAGAGAAAAAAAAAAACACAAATTATGAAAATTACTACATATCTACCTACAATAATAATTTTTTTTTATATATTAAGAATTTAGGACAATTTATATTTTCACTAATATTACTTTTAAAAAATAAATTAAAAAAATTAGCAATAGCATAGATAATAAAGGGATAATAATAGCATTAAACTAGTTAGAAAAAATGCTTATCTTGTTTAAAATATAAAAAAAGCACAGGTAAATTTTGAATAAAAAGATGATTATTATTTTGGAATGGGGGAATAAGTAACATATGATACTATACTAGAATAATAATAAATGATATCAAAATTTAAAATCAATAATGTGATATAAATTAGGTTATTTAAAAGATTAAAAAGTAAATCTTATATTATTAATGACTAACTTTTTTGTTTTTTTTTTGAGTCATATGATATTATATATATTAATTAATATAATGATACAACATAAATCACATCGTTAGTTTCAAATTTTCAGCCTCCTTATCATTACTCATTATACTATCAGTAAAGGCTTAAATCTACCGCCAGTATCAATATTATTGCTTTTGGTTTTTTTTTTTTTATTATTTATTTTGGTTGTTGAAAATTTAGTAATGCTCAATTAATAAAATAAACAAGTTTAATAAAATAAAAATATTTTTAGTTTTGGTCATTAATTTTAAAATTTTAAACATATAAATTTGTACATAAAATAATTTAGGAATCTGGCAATTTTATTCCTCCAAATTTCCTATAGCTAGGGAAAAGTTTGTACATAAAATATTGTTGGTTTTTATTTTTAATTTTAGCTTTTGATGGTCAATTTTAGTTATTCAATTTTTTTCGATACATGAGACAGATGCTAATTAAATTCTGAATTGTCTAGAGGCTTTTAGCCTGAATTATTCAAATTTTATAATGACAAAAGCACTCAATAACACAGGTTTAGAGCCATTACAAGTTCATACTACCGCGGGGCCTTAGGCGCATTACTTGTGTACGACATAACCAGGAGGGCAACATTTGACAATGTGAAGAAATGGCTGCTGGAGCTCCGGGAGTTTGGGAGCTTGGACATGGTGGTTGTTCTTGTGGGCAACAAATGTGATTTGGGACATCAGTCCAGAGAAGTCGAGGAGGAAGAAGGAGAGAAATTGGCCGAGACAGAAGGCCTATGTTTCATTGAAACATCGGCGCTGGAGAACTTGAATGTTGAGGCAGCATTCTTGCAGATGATCACTAAAATACATGAAATTACAAGTCAGAGATGTTTAGAAGTAAAGACAAACGAAACCACAATCAATCTTCAGGGTGGAAAAGAAATTATCAGCGTTGATGAAGTTACTGCTACTAAACAACCGTACCTAAGTTGCTGTTGAATTGACATAAATATGCTGAGGAAAATTTTCTCATTTGATTCCAAATTGAAAGAAAATTGTTTGATTGATATAGTCTAATTTTCATCAACTGCTTCTTGATGTTTCTCATGATGACATTCATTCTATTAATATCCAACTTAAAATTAATTAGTAATAGGTAAAAGAATTAACATATATTTAAATTTGCAAGATATGTCATTAAATGAAGGGGGCTTCTGTCATTTAAGGTTTCACTTATATTATTATATATATTTACTCATTTAATAACAAATCATAACTGTAAACTTATAATCATATGTGACTTGTAAACTTATGGCCATAATGTGTGATTAGATGATTGACTTACAACCATAAGTGTGATTAGATGATTAACTTTTTTCATTTAGTGGTCCACCCATAATATTATATGCACCTAATCATTTAATAATATATCATGATTACAACTTAAAATTTTACATGGCATTATAATTTTATCATAGCCGTATTAGTTATCATCCCTCTTATGTGCACATTAGAACTTGTCACATTGGACAACATCAAAAGGGCAGAATCTATGGCATTTTTTTTATGAAGATAAAAGAAAACAATTTTCTTTTATTGTTCCATTTGATGAGACTATATAACAAAAGATATTAAATAGTCCTCCCTTTCTCATCCGTCTCAAAATTCAAACTCTACGGGCTCAATGTAGAGGCTATCAACTATCTTAGTGGACTATAACCCATTTTTGCAATAGGGGAGGGAGGAGGGCTTGGGCTGGCTTCTCCAATTTCCACTTATAGACCCTAACCTGTATTTAGGAAAGAAACCAATTACCCACACCTACAAAATTGCAAGTCTCCATCAGTTAAGGTCACACACGTGTGATCTATCCAAATGGTAAATCTCCCTTGTGTTATAACATTTCTGTCTGTGATGTTTATTTATCACAGATGAACCAATCTCACTATCCCACTAACTTCAAGGAGAAAGTTTGGG